TTATCATCTGGAAATGTGTTGCAGCCAAATAATCTAAATGCACGTTGATTCCAAATGTGGAGGGAAAAACCGGAGGATCCCAGAGATAAATCCATGCGGCCACGGGGAGAGAGAGACACGCAAAATCTAAATATACAGGCGTCAGGGTCAGGATGGAACCCACGACCTCCTGTATCCCCCGGCGAGGTAGTTAACATCTTAGAAACCAGACCACCCAGAGAAAGCCGACGTGTGTGAGCAGGTGAGAGATAATATTCCAACTGGCACCTTCTGTCTTGTGGTCACGATTTCAGTGGAATACGTAATCTCCAAGTTTGCTAGATGTACACGCGTAACCACCACACCCACTCATGATTACTCTCACTTGTGGTTTTGTCGCGGATTACTGTCTTATGCGGCTCGAGCATCGTTTGGTTTTTCATACATGTGATTGCAAATTAGTGTAATGCGTTTTTGGGAAAATCGTAATCTATTAATATTGTGTTACCTTGTTCGGGTCAGTGCGTATGTGTCCTAGAGTAAACACATTTCAATGCAATTGATTACATTGAAAACCGACACAGTGTAAGCAGACGAGGTACTGAATTCATGGGTCCAAACATTGCAGTCACCATAGTAACATTTAACGAGGGTAGAGGAAAAGGGTTGTTTGAGCAAGATTTTACACAATTGTACGCAAGATTGTGCACAAGATTGTACACAATTGTCTGTCAATATTTTGCACTTTTTAATGGTATTTAATTTACGGCCGAGTTTTTTTTTATTTAAACTTGACCTAATTTACCTTTGCTGAAGTTGAATGTAACATGAATACATTTATACTTAATTTAATTCTTATTATTACTGTTTTATGTACCCAAATCGGCCCGGAATACTGTTTTGACAAAGCGTTGTTCTAATTTGTGATTCTAATTTATTATTCCAGTGTATTACAAAGCTAAATGTGCGCCCCTGCAATGTCTTGCTCAACCAAATGCTGGCAGAAGGGCCTCGGACATATATATAGGTCTAGAGCCTACTGGACATCTGTGAAAAATAACTTCATAGCTCATTGGATTCCTCCAGAATAAATAAGTATTCTGATTCTGAGAGCCCCTATTGAAAAGGTATTTTGGCTTACCCTTCCACGCTATAGCCACACACTGACAGACTTTAGCTCACCACATATGACACACAAACTTTAGTGTACTTATTTATACCGGTGAATTGATAGAGGTGGGAGGAATTTAATAAATGTGCCCAGTGTTTCAACAGCCACGCCAGAAGAGTTTAACCAGAGCACTATGGATGTAAAGTCCACCGTGCTCACGTTTACACCATGACAGCACACACACACACATATATATAAAATTAGGGTGGGAGGAAATGTTCAAATATCATAAAAGTAGCACAAACTAAAAAAAAACAAATTCCTAAACCAAATCGAATGCATATCAATCTTTGATGACGCGTCTCAAGAGACTGTACTTTCATCCAAGTCCACGTGCATTTCTTTCTTATTTCACAAGACAAGGAGAAGAGTGGGAGAGACACATCCAGTGTAGTTTTTTGTACTTTTGACAAACTCCACTTTGGGTATCACATGTTGAATTTTAATATTTTATACGTCAGCATTTGATCTAAAGGCAGCTCAGGAAAAAAATAATTACATTGTCATCCCGTGTTTTAAAAGAGATGCGTGGCAAATGCCCAAGATTTTCTACAAAGCTTGGCGCTGCGAATAGAGTTGCAGTGCGCGGGTCGCTGTTAGTCATCACCACCTTCCGTTACTATGGATAGATGCTCCGATACAAGATGCGTTGATTTTCACGGTTGTCTCTTTTGGGTTGTACAGCGCACGTGGTCCGCCATCATCTCCAACATTTTACTGTCCGTCGTGAGGAGCTTTTTCGATGCAGCAGTCGAAATATGCTTTCTATAAAGTCACGTAGTAGGGAAATAATAAAATAATAAAAATAAAACATATTTCATTATGTTGTATTTTTATTATTTTATTATTTCCCTTCTACATATTTTATTGTTTTATTTTTATTATTTTATCATTTCCCTTCTACGTGACTTTACCGAAAGAACCAAGAAGATGAATCCCTGCAGTCACGAAAGCTTTAAATCGAAATATGCATTCTAAATAAGCACCTTGGTATATTTTTTCCTATTGATGCTGCGAGTTGTTTAAGGAGTTCGTGAATTAAAGAAAATCGGCGTAATTACATTCGGCCATATCGTCAGACCAGTGCCGACTGTTAATTGGCAGTGACATGTGTCACATCACAAGCTTATAATCCCTAAAATGTCAAGTGGTGAATGAAGGACGTGGCAGTGGGGATATCCTGCAGCTGAACTAATTATGAGCAAGGCAGGATACACACGTACATCCTGGCAACCAGTTAACAGGCTTCACATGCTTAAGTGTCACACTCATCCAAAAAGTATCTGAAAAAATTGAGCACAGTTAATGGAAATATAACGTCGTAATATTCGGATGGAGCACCGTTCAACATTATCCAAATATCAGCCTAAGTAGGCCTGGGTTTGAAGAGTAACAAAGACAAGTGGTCAAAAATGTTGCCCTCCCCAAATTGGTAGGACCGGTATCTGAAATTACGTTTTTTTTTTTTACCGAGTTAAATGTGATTTGATATTTTGAGTCAGCAACCTCCAAGACTTCCATGGGATTTTTTGCTTTGATTTCTTAGAAGCATATACTTGGACTCTCCATGTGTCGAATGTCAACTCTGATTTACATCACTCATTCAGTCACTCCGACCACCTATGTTAGATACACTGTATTCTCACACACATGAATATAAACTATTATCATTCTGTCATCATTACCCATGTCCCATTTGTCGCCGAACATTGGTTTTGCCAGGATGAACAGTTCCCTGTCTAACACTTAAGGCATTTGACGGCGAAAGTATCCAGGAAGGGGCATAGTCTTGTCATGCAATCATTTCTGGAGACTCTTAAATTCTGTCTGCAATACCAACCACACAATGGTCTACTTACGTCCACACAAATTATCACCGAGGACATTACCCGTCGAGTTCAGAGTGTCAACGAAGGACAGAGATCAGAGTCGGACTCACAAATGCTGCAACCAGAGACCATTTAGAAATAGGCAAGGACATCAGAAACAATTGGAGTTATGTTTTTGAAATAAGTGAAATCTACCAATTTTTGCAAGAGGTGTTTTTCGGTATGAAAATATAAAGGTGCTACTCTGCACTGTCTTGCTCACACAGCTGCTGGTGGAAGGGCCTCCCACGAGATGGAGAATCTTAGAGAGCCCCTCTAGAGGGTGTTTAAGCTTCATCTTCCATGCTAGCCAGGTGTCTTGGAATCCATCCGTGAAGCTCTGTACACCTTTCCATCATCACTCCGCGAAAATTGGCCATCTCCGCAAATTCCTTGGTCCTCTTGACCGAAACTTTCATTTGTCGCTTCCCTCCACCCTCTGCGGATACCCGAGATCCGTACTACACAGGCTGCAGTTGATCCAGAATGTTGCCTGCGCTCCTGGCTCATGCTCACGAGTGGAACGGACTGCATTGCCATCAGAGGTCGCAAACGGGTTTTGATCCCTTACCCGTACCCGTACCCGGCCGCACCAGGGACGCAAACGGCTACCCGTACCCGGCCGGGTACGGGTAGCCAGGTATCGGGTAGGGTACGGGTATCGGGTACCCGGTTGCGACCTCTGATTGCCGTCGTCCTGAGAGTTGAATCCCATTGGCGTCTCTCTATTCACCCTGTGCATCAGCGACACAATCTCCCTGGTTGTCCTTGAAGATGCACGCGTGGCCTCGTAACCCGAGCCTCTCCGACCTTAGTTCCCTGCAGCACTCCCCTCCTCAGCTCCGTCTGCTCTGACCACACAGCCCTCTCTCCACCTCACATCAATCTGTACACAACTTTGGTGGTCGCCGTTCCGCAGTGTTCACCTCGTGCTCACTGCTCCGCCCTCAGGATTATAATGTAAATAGTTTTCATTTTGTACACAGTGGTTAACTGTAAACTTCCCCCCCCCGCGCTTTATTACGTAAAACCCTACCTGATCGTGTATATTATGTTTGATTTTCACATCCGAGTGCATGTGTGTTACGTTTGCGCACCTATGTATTGTTACTTTATTTATTATGGCTGATGTGTTTCATTGGATAAGTAAACACCGTGTGCTATGCACTTATTCCATCCAGGCTGGTGGCTTAGTCGCTTGCCTCCGTTTCTTTCATTGCTTTATATATTTAAAAAAAAGTTTCTTTTTTTCTCCAACCTTCATCTTGCTGGGTTCACAAACTTCCAGCAGCAGCAGCCCTCCACCACTGGCGATCACCTTCATCGCGATATCCCATCTGCCGCTGATGTCTCTTTCATTCCTCTTTGCTCTCGTGCTGTCTCCTCTGCCACTTGATCAGTTCATCTCAGCTGTCCTCTGCCTCTGTTGCCTTCCACTACCATCACCCGTTGCTTTGGGTGGATTCCCATTTGGATCCATTATTCCGACAGAACGATGCCATAGCAGGCTGCGTTCCTCAAATGATTGTTCATTCCATCTTCCGGTCATCATCAGCAGCAGCAGTATTGGTTAATCCACTGCTGGATGAAGGCCTCCCCAAGCCACCACCATGTCCCATTATCCTGCGATTGAATAAGCAGTCTAGCACCTGTGCCCTGTCAAACACACTCCGTTCCTCGGCTGTCACTCCATTCGCAACGTTGACCATCATCCGTCATCCCTTCTCGTGGCGTGTCCTGCCCAAGCCCACATACTCTTGCGAACAGTTTGAAACGATGCCATTAACCCTACGTGCGTTCTGGCATGCACGTGCTCCACTTCCTGTCTCTCTCAGCGGTACCTCCAGGCGTCCTTCTTCTTCCTCACCGCGCGCTTTTCACGCGAACGTAAATCGACCTGACGCCTTGCAGAGAAGTTATCGAGGGGGGTTTTTAGCGACGACATTTCGAGCTGCTGACGATGTCCCCCGTGCGCCCCCCAGGTGATCAAGGCGATCGAGGAGGGCTACCGGCTGCCGGCGCCCATGGACTGCCCCCTGCCGCTCCACCAGCTCATGCTCGACTGCTGGCAGAAGGAGCGCTCCGACCGGCCCAAGTTCGGCCAGATCGTCAACGCTCTCGACAGGCTCATCCGCAGCCCCGGACTGCTCAACACGCTCGCCAACGGCACCTTAAGGTTCAAGTCCGACTCTTTCTGTGAATGATACAAATAAACCACACAGCCCTCCCCACCCACCCCCATTGCAGCAAAAGAATTGTATTTTTATTTTACCAGGCAAGGCCCACTGAGCAATATATTTATTTATTTTATGAGCGACCTGGCCACAAATGATAGCTCAACCAAGTGGCTTATTGTCCGGAAATGTATAGCAGCCGAATAAGCTCAACGCATGTTCATTCTAAATGTGGTGGGGGGGGGGGGACCAGAGGACCCACGCAACCACGGGGAGAGAACATGCAAATGCAAAATGGACAGCAGGTGTTAGGGTCGGGATCGGGATCGAACCCACGACCTCCTGTATACCAGGCGAAGTAGTTAACATCTCCTCGCCACCGTGGTGCCACTTGCATGGCAGGATGACGCGACAACTCAACATAATGTGGTGCGTGTGTGTCACGTGGTCCACCGCAATGCTCTCGGACTTGCCTCTGCCAGTCTCAAGAAACTGAAAATGTGACCTTATTATCAAGGTGTAGCTGAACTATTACGGCTGCGGAATGTCTCTACGTCTGAGAACAGCCAGCCAACATAATTACATGTCTTTATGTCTTGCTCCAACTGGCCAGGGAGTAATTAAGAAAAGCCCATTATTACTTTAACATTTCAAGGTATATTTATTGCACACAAATGCAAGTGTTCAGTGTTAGTTCTTGCGATATTGTCCCAGCTAGAGACAAAGTTGAATGCTTGTACTGTGTCCATTGTAATATTATTGTATTGGACGTTTCTAAAAGCCATTTCAAAAAGAGAAAATGTGTCAGTTTAATATCTTATTTAAAAAAAACGTGACCTCATTTTTCACGTGTGAAATGTGATATAATTTACAGCAATTAGTCATGATGAAAGGTAATCATTATACATACGTGCTACTTTAGAACAATAGCAAATTGTGCTCAGCATTTACTGATACCATACTTTCCAAAATAAAGCTTTTATTTGAAAGGTAGAAAAAATGAAACCTAACAGTTAATGTCTGCCTAGCTAACCAAGCTCGCAAATCAAACAATTTAGCTAAAAGGGTGAACCTTGAAGCGAAGTTCTTGTGCAAGAAAATTGTATTCTCCAAGAAAACTTCTAAACCATGCAATTATAATTATAATCAGGTTAATATCAGGCCAGACACTATTGTGACTCAAATGTAATCTTCGTCTGTAAAGGCTTGGCTGAGCAGGTAACGTTTTAAGCTCCAGTTTAAAGCTTTGCACGGTCAGGGAGTCCCTGACTGCGGTGCATCGCCACCGGTGTGCAGTGGAATGTCAGACTAGGTGTGTCGCCGCAGTTTTTTTTTTTGCGGAATTATATGACAGCAAAGAACCACGCTGTTCGCAATCTCTGACAGATGACGAACTTTCCTCCATGCGGTTCAGCGGCCCATCCAACAGCCAAACACTCCCAGCCCTTTCAGGTCCCTCGATCGCATGTTCCTACCGACCTACCCAGCCCCTCTCAGCTTCCTACCCACCCACCCAGCCCCTCTCAGCTCCCTCGATCGCACGTTCCTACCGACCGACCTACCCAGCCCTCTCAGCTTCCTACCCACCCACCCGGCCCTCTCAGCTTCCTACCCACCCACCCAGCCCCTCTCAGCTTCCTACCCACCTACCCGGCCCTCTCAGCTTCCTACCCACCCACCCGGCCCCTCTCAGCTCCATCGGTCACACGTTCCTACCCACCCACCCGGCCCTCTCAGCTTCCTACCCACCCAAACAGCCCCTCTCAGCTCCCTCGATCGCACATTCCTACCGACCGACCTACCCAGCCCTCTCAGCTTCCTACCCACCCACCCGGCCCTCTCAGCTTCCTACCCACCCACCCAGCCCCTCTCAGCTCCCTTGGTCACACGTTCCTACCCACCCACCCAGCCCTCTCAGCTTTCTACCCACCCACCCAGCCCCTCTCAGCTCCCTACCCACCCACCCGGCCCTCTCAGCTCCCTACCCACCCACCGGGCCCTCTCAGCTTCCTACCCACCCACCCGGCCCTCTCAGCTTCCTACCCACCCACCGGGCCCTCTCAGCTTCCTACCCACCCACCCCGGCCCTCTCAGCTTCCTACCCACCCACCGGGCCCTCTCAGCTTCCTAGATCGCACATTCGTCCCCACAAACTGGGACCCAAACTGATTGTTTTGGTTGAGTGTGCTGTTAAATGAAAACAGTTCAGATGCACTGCCTTACTTGATGAGGTGGGGAATTCAAAAGGTTTTGGGCCTTATAAGTAAAAGAATGGGCCCAAGATGTTTGTAATCGCACCTTGAGTCTGTCTAACAATCCCTCATCGGTGGATCAAAGAGGTCAGGATCATCTAACTATTAAAACGTCTAAAAAATAAATGTTAAATTGTGAGGATCAATATTCATGATTCAACTTAAAAGAGTTCTTTCATCCCATTTGAAATCTCAATTTTTACATATTTTGTCCACTCAATTAGCCAAAATGTCATTAGCATATTATTTGCTAATTATTTCCATGATACAATGATTCTTACACGCATGATTCATTGCAAGTACGGTGAAATAAGGATAGATTTTAAATCGGGGATTGATGATTTTACATTACGTCTGAATGCTTAATTCAAACTATCACTCTCAATATTTTAAAAGTATAAAGACCATAATTATCCCACGTGTTATAAATGGAATTCCCACACCGCCTCCATTCCAATTTCGAAAACACATTTAAATCGAGTATTGATCGGCTTGTAAAATGTACGATCAAATTCTGTGCAACAACTGTGTCCATCAGACCTCTGTATTGCCTCCTCCATTAGTCACAGACTAAAATGCCCCGGACTCAAACAAACCAATGGGCAGCCACTCATCTCCACTGGCTGGAGTCGGTCAGCGGCGTTCATTCCACATTCATATGGCAGGGGTCAGTTTATTTGTTTTTTACAAAGGAACAAATGCTATTGGCTTTCTGCAAACGGACTCACGGTTATCAACTTCTGGAGGAGTAATTACTCCAGCCGACCCCTGACCAGCATTTGAACTTTTAGCACCACATTCGGTCGATAATTAAAAGCCAATAATCATGGCTCGTGCAGCTGTGCAGGCTGCTGGATCAATGCGTTCATTGGCGCTTACGAATGTAGATGCTTTTGAGAATGATAATGGAAGGCAACCATTGTGCTCATTAGGTTTTGATTAAGGGTGGAGGTCAAGGCGCAGCCCTGCAATGACCAGCTCACGCCACTGCTGGCCAAAGGGCCTCCACCACTTAAGGTTCTTTTGGACTACAATTTCGTGATTTTTTTGTTTATTTTGAAACAAATTTTATACGTTTTACATATCTTTTTTCTCTCATCGAAGTATATATATATATTTGCACTTAGTTTTTTCAGCCTGTTAGCTTCGAAAGCGTTTATGTTTTCACATTTTTACGTATAATTATACAAAAAAAATTGACACTGGAATTATCGGACTGTTTCATTGAGCTCTCACCTGGGGTAGAACAAAACAGCCGGAGCAGAACGAGCAAAACAGCACCATCGGCTTCCAATCCCAGATAAAAGGTAAAGGCGCAGCTCTGCAAGTTCTCGCTCATGCCACCTGCTGGTGGAAGGTTTTCACGAGAGTGAGCTGAAGAGAGCCTTTCTCGAGCATAATTTAGCCTACCTCTTCCATGGCTTCTTACAAGAGGTAGGAGTGCCCACTCTTTACTCCACTGCACACAACCTATCGGCGAACTTGTAGCGTTTCCATTAATCTTTTAGGGTGGACAGAGACGGGGAGTGGTGGGGAAGGGGGGGTGGGGGTTCATTTTCAAATGCCGCTCTAGGAGATCGCATTGAACCGATGACCTCTGGATTTCAAGTCCACCGTTGCTAATCATTACACCACGACAGCATCAAGTCAATCCAAGGCCTCGGGTTTAATTATCAGAAGGAGATGGAAACCTTGAGTAGGTCTCTTTACCCAGCATTGTGAGTAACCACTGCAAGTGGCAATCTATCCGCGGGCTCTCAGTCACGATGTTGCAGGGCTGTTCTGCACATAGCACAATAAAAATAAGGGTATGGGAATTAATTCTTGATTTGAAGCTTTCGTGATTGCAGGACTCCATACTTTTTGGTTCTTTCGGTAAAGTCACGTAGGTATAAAATAAAATAAATCACGACGTTTCGGATGCAACACAAGCGTCCGTCATCAGGTGAGAAAGCATGATCTTTAAAACAGTCTTCCTCAGCAGCAGATCTTTAAAACAGTCTGCCTCAGCAGCAGACCTCGTGTTGCGCCCGAAACGTCGTGATTTATTTTATTTTATACCTACGTGACTTTTTCCGAAAGAACCAAACAGTATGGGAATTCACGTTGTCCACATACATGGCACAAGAAATAGATAGAACGAGAGCAGGCTGGAATGCCTGTGGATGGGCGAACATGATAGTGGAAAGGCTCATGACCGATTTTCTGAAGTAAAAAGTGTTCATTCATTGCACACAGCCAGCTCCACTCTTCCTTCTAACATGAGGAAGCCACTGGAGCTGTCCACTTTTAAATCTATACTAGCTGTACTACCCGGCTTCGCCCGGGACTTGTATCTACCACGGCCGGCCGCCTTTGTCTCCCCAGTGGCGATGTTAATACGCTACAGCAGTTACTTGTTTGAGGCAGAGTCGACCTAGGGGAGGTTCAAATAATCGTCACCGGTGGTGGCCGTGAGCGGGAATCGAACTGGGTTTGCCGTGTTGGTAGCGCAGCGTAGCGTTAAGCACTACACCCACCGCTCCTCACACACCACACACGCACACACACAGACACACACACAGACACACACACAGACACACACACACAGACACAGGCAGCACGCTAAGCACTACACTACCGTTCCCCCTACACAACACACGCGCGCGCGTCCATAGGTACACATACACGCGCTTGCTGCAGACACACACGACTTTCAGGGTGCGTACGGCAGTAAACGACTGAAATAATAAAGCGGCAATGCTGTGTAA